TAGCTGCCATCCTGCCCCACCAGTTGTCTACCCAAGTGCAGTGGGTGGGTAATGCTTTCCCTTAACTGTTCATAGCTGTCATGGGATCTTTTCCCCCCTCTGGGTCATGCTCTTGAAGGCAAAGAGATGTTTATCACATACAGTTGATCTCAAACCTGTGAGAAGCAGTTGCTCCCTATAGACAAGTGAGTAGTTATGGGGTCTGATGTGGGGCACATGTGTGGCTATGTCTGCCATGGATAAATACAGCGTTTCTGATCTGCTGTGTCTGAGAGCTGAGTTCATCCAGACAGCAGACACTTTGAGGGAGAAGGGAACCTATTTGCTGTGTTTCGTGATGACATTGAGGTGGCGGTGTAGGGACTGAGAAGCAGAAAGATTAAACGTATTATGAGAGTGAGTTGTGGCAGAGCTGATGGGTCAGAGTCAGGTGCTCTAACCAGACGCTTCCTCAGGCTCTATGTAAAATAAAACTTGTGCAAGCACAATGATGCTAGGAAATGTTTGACGTGATGACCTTATAATCAGTTCATTTAAGGGTGTGATTAATGAGCTGTGCCTTGCCATGTTGTAACTTGATATCCCATATGGTGTCCATGGACGTCTGCTCTCTAGCAGAGGGTAAACATTCACAAGGCAGCATCCTACAGACCTTGTTCACAGTTCACTCAAATCACTGCAGCCTCTTCCATGAAGTGATGTGAGATCTGTCTAAAGCACAGAAAGATCCAAATAGTCTGCCTGGCTTTCTTTTTTGCACCCTGCTTTTGAGGAAATAGGATACGCTTTGAAAAGGTTTCCAGAGTTTCACATAAGGGCGAGTAAGGACTCCCCATTCTGACCTTTAATTTTCATTGAAGTCTTGTTTATTTTGCTGCTCTGAAGAGTTAAGGACTTGCGAAGCTTTCTGCTGTTGTACTGTAGATGGAACCACAAGAAACCTAGCAGATTTTGCAAGGCAGAAAAACTTTCAAGACATCTCACCTTTGTCCAAGGTGTAAAACATCTTGGAGAGACCATGAACTTCTTTTCAGCACTGGCTGTATTTCCAGGTCTTACTCATTACAGTAGATGTGTAGAGCCTCAGTCGTTGGGTTAAAAATTTGGGCGAGAAACAAGGGCATCATTGCCCTAGGTAGTGTTGGTCTGATTAGGGACATGACTCCTCCAGAGAGAAACACCATCTGTTGACAACGTTCAGCCTGACATTCCTCAAAGCTATATTGTTCAGGAATCAGAACTGGCTGGAGTACTGTGATTTATGCTGATGATAATTAGTGTCTCTTGTGGTCTGGTGTGCTGGAAGCTGACCATCAGGCAGATATAAGAGATGGAAATTAAGTCTCCTCTTGTTGGCCCACAGAGCTACATTAAATCTGTTCTGGGGCTTCATATCCACAACAGCTTGAACGGGAAAGCCATTGAACCATCATTTCTGGTCTTTTTTGCCTCTTCCTGATCAATTCCTCATGACCTGCTCTGCCCAGTAGAGACAGCCACGTGCAACAGGAGAACAAACTGTCTGCTGGGATAATAAAGCCATACAACTTCAGGCCAGCTCTTCCAATGAAGCTTCTTGTTAATTAGTTTACCAGTGGGAACCTTTGAGAATTAAACACAGGAGACATAATCTCTCTGAAAGCTAATTACAAATATTTGCCCCCCTGCTGATAAGTGACCTGCTAATTTCCTCCTGTTTGAGAAAGCTTCATTAAAAATTACTGTACTGTTTGTGTAACAGAAGAGTTGCTAGCACAGATGTTTTCCCAACAAGGATGCTGCCAGCTAATTTTCTTCAGCTCTCAGCATTTCCAGAGGTCTTCTTAGGAAGGTGAAATTGGTTTGAATACCTGGAAGATATTGTAGATGTGGTACTCTGGGTCGTGGGCTAATGGGCAATATTAGTGGTAGGTGGATGGTTGGACTGATCTCAGAGGTCTTTTCTAACCCTCATGATCCCATGATTCTATAAAGCCTTTTTTTTACTTTGGCTGAAGGGAGAAAGACTCCCAGACAGGGAGTCTGTTGCAGAGCAGGGATTTGAAGCTACTTCTGTGGAGCCCATAATGAAGCACTTGAATTGCATTCAGAAGCTTGGGATGAGGGTCCCACACTATACAGTGCAACGCTCAGACAAACTAAAGAGACCCCTGCTCTGAAGGGCTTTGGTGTGGGGATGGGAACACCTGCTAAAAGATTTGGGAACAGCAGGTCCAGCTGTTTTCTGTTATGGAGACAGTGATGTGCATGATGAGAAAGCTCATGGGAAGAGCAGAGTGGAAGTATGAGCTATCCCTGCTGAGCTGCAGTGAGTGTCCTGGGGGACACCAAGTACGAGGTATAGCTGCCAAGTCTCTTCTATTCAGAAACAACAAAAGCTTCATCCCTGGTGAGATGGGACCAGACCACACATCTACCTTCCTTATTGTTCTGCCTCAGTGGCTGGAATAGCAGAGCCTTAGAGTACAAGAACCATGGCAAGCCAAGAGCAAGCTTTCCCCTTCTGGCCATTGCCAGCACTCACAAAGGCAGGGACATTGTAAGCCCAGAGCTGCACGTGTCTTCTGTGTCTGACAGGTCCAGTTGTGGCTCTCTGCTGGCTCTGAACACACCAATGCTGTTGTAGTCCACGGCAGAGCCCTTGATTTTAATTACACACTGTACAAAGAGCTGCCTCCTCTGGGGGTTTAAATCTCTGCATAGCAATTTCACAGCAGCCTCTGAGAATGACAAACACTGATCTGCTTTTTTTGCCTCCTCCTTTCTATACGTGATGTTACAGACAGGTAAACACTGCTGCAGAAATTGGCCTTGCACTTTTCTGGATTTCAGGGGCACTAAGCCATGAGCCAGAGCTGGATCCTGCTGCAGTGCTAACTTCCTGGCAGTCTTTCTGGGTGCAGGAGCACTCGAGTCAGATTTTGGTGTAAACCCACGCTCAGGAAACGACAATGGGAAAAAGCAAGCAGGCAAATTGTGCCTCTCATTCATAAACTTCTGACTTGATGTTGGAATTCAGCAGAAAATGAAAACAAGCTGCATCTCCAGACATACAGATCTGCATTCCGCAGAGGGCTGGGAGCTGAGCATGGCAGGGCTTCCTGCTTCTTGGTAAGCCCACAATCAGACTGGCAAAGCCCCCTGGCAAATGATGAACGCTCATGAGCTGTTCTGATTTATACCAGTGAGAAATCTAGCTTTAATTTTAGTTCTTGAATTAGCTGTTCTTTTAATCACACAAATGCAGCCTGCCAGGTTGTCAGGGCCACATATGTGAAACTCAGAACTGTTTCTTCAGTGGAGCCCTATATATGTCATATTTCTGCAAAGCCTTCCCCTTTTTATTGGGTTTATGGCCCATTAAGTTGAAAGTGTGATGGAGAGTCACGCAACAGCCAGCAATAACCTGGAGGAAGCAGCCTGCTTCATCACTGCCTCATGCAATTAGGGAATGGCTCACAGGTCATTTGGTATTAATTGACCCCATTAGAAGCCTGAGCACTTTTTGATTGCTGTTATACAATGTGATAGCAGGGGACTTGAATCAATGACCCTGCCAGGATCTTTCCATCCGACAGCCTCTCTTGAATGGATATGGCTTATGGGGCCATTCCCACAGGGCTCTGTGGGGCTGTGCCAGGAGTTCAGCACTCCAGTTTTCCCCCAGCAACAGTCAGCGAGCACTCAGTGACAGTTCTGCTGCAAGAGGGACTCTCAGAGTTGTACCAAGCAAAGCCCAAGCAGCGGTTCCATCACTTTTCTGCTGGGGATGAGTGCACTCAGCCATTCTGAAGCTCGCATCGCAGAGCCAGGGAATGCCTACAAGAGATGTTGCATCTCTGTAATTAGATTTCCCTGTTATTTCACTCGAGAAGGCTGGGCAATGTGTCTGACCAGCGCTGTTCTCCTGGTACCCCAGTGCCCTCAGCCAAGCCCCCGGGGTATGCTGACAGCACTGCCCCAGGCAGGGAGAAGGCAGAGCTGCCCACCTCAGCAGGGCTGAGCCCAGCTTCTGCAAATCTTGTTTCTGCCTCAATTTCAAGGCCAACCCATGAGGTGGGATGCAATAGAAAATGCTGCTTGATTAAGAATGTGCAGGCTGGAGTAGTGCCTGGAGAAAAGAGAGAAGTGTGTGTTTGTTCCTCTTCAGCAGTTTCTCCTTTGACCTTTGTTTTTCTCCATCTCTGTGCTATCTTTCCTTCTTCTCTCTCTCTCGAGAGCATGAAAGCAATCATTTTAAAAAGGAGAGAATGAATCATGTTCGATTTGGGTAGGTTTTTTTTTCTGCAATAAGCTGTAGAAGAGCCTTTGTTGAGTTGCTGCTGGCAGCATCCAGGCTGCTTACAGCAGTGTGGGCACAGATGAGGGCCATGTGAGTGTCTGCACAGCTGAGGAAGGACAACCTATGCTCTGTGCAGCTCACAGTGAGCAGCCTTCCTTCCTTCAGTGGGCACCAGCTCTGCAGGTTGGCTAGTTTATTAACGTGGGAGCCAAGACGTTGGCTGTGCTTGCAGCAGGGTCTAGCATATTTGCAGAAAGATGCCAGCAGTATCTTTGGGTGCACACAAGGTCTGATAGCCGTGTTATCGCAAAGATGCTGAAGATGCTCTTTGAATACACCAGCTCTTACACCTTGAGCATTCCCACCTCTCAGAGGCTCAGCACCCTTCCGCCTTCCCCCCAAGCCAGGAATTACCCCCCTGCATCCCCCCAGGATGCTCAGCACCTGACACCAGCTATTTGTTCCATTCGCAAAGCGCGTTTCCAGCCTTTAGCATTTAAGTCCCTGCACAGCGAGCACAGCCGTTCCCAAATCTTTGTAGGACGGCTGTGAGCCGCGCACCGGGGCTCGGGGCTGCCCCTAGCGGGGTGCAGCCTTCCTCTGCTAGGGAAAAGGGGCTGTTCTGCTTCGGGCACCTCCGGCGGCTGAAGGGGCGGAGGCTGCAGCCTTCAAGTAGGAAAGGGAGAATAAAAAGGAGGCAGGGGGAGAGGCGGGGAGGTTGCCGGACAGCGGGCGGGGCTGGAGAGGAAGGGGAGGCAGCGAGGATGCGGAGCTGCGCCTGAGCCCCTCCTGCCCAAGAAGGAGAGCATCAGCTCGGCTGGACGGAGGGAAGCGGGGAGATGCGGCCGGGCTCGCTCGGCACCTGCTGAGTTCTCATCCAGCAAAGTTTCCCGAGCTCGGGGAGGAAGAGAGGGAAGGCGACATGGGAGAACCTGCTGTCCTCATTCCGGCCCCGCCGGGACCCGCTGTGGCTTGGGCGCTGCTGTCTGAAGGCTGAAGGGGACCCCCGGGGCACCTCCAGGTAACCATCCCCGCTCCCACCCACCGCGGCTCTCCGTGGCCCCGTAAGGGACTTTCCCGAGCACTTTGCCCAGGGAAAAGTCTCGTGCTTCCCCTAAAGGCTTCTCCTGCTTGCGTTCGCGAGTCTGTGTGTGCTCAGGGAGCGGCTGGAGCTGTCTGAATGGGATTTCTGTGTGCTGCTCACAGCCGCTCCTTCGCTGCCCCCTTTGGAAAGGGGACTGGGACTCCTTGGGGGTCTGTTCTGCTGTGGTGGGAAGATGACAGCTCCATCCCCTTTGCTACAGCTGAGAGGGAACGAAACGTGCTGCTGGCATGGCTTTAAAAGATAGCTATAAAATGCTGCCTGGATATGTCAGAATGTCCTCAGAGCTCTAGGAACTCACAGAGCTATGAATAAAACCCTCTGTTTGGCCCCATGAGGATATAGGGAGGGATGAATATTGCCCTAGAAGGAATCACTCTATCCTCTGGATTTCTGGTTCGGATATGCAGCTTTTTTTTTCCCTCCTCATCTTTTTTCCTTTTTCTATTTCACTCTCCCTAGTAGTGATGCTTGCCACCAGTTCATTTCAAGCTGAGATGTTGTTTGGAGTAGAACCCCAGATTCTAACTGATAAGAAAGAACTTGTTTCACACAGCCCCCAAAAGAACTTTTCCTAAAGGAAAAGAAGTCCATCATTCTGGACAGGACAATGGAAAGAAAGCTGGTTATTTTGGAACTGGTTGATTTGACTGAAGTGAAAGCAGGAAGGTAAAAGCTGCCAGATTTCCTCTGGAAAGATAACAGTGAAGGCAAACACCCATCAGTGGGTTCCTGTGACTGTAGAGGAGGTGGGGGAGGGAAAGGGGGACACCCTCTCCCCACGGTATCAAATCTGAGCTCTAGAAGGTGATAGAATTCAACCACAGCCATCAACACACACTGTCAGGCAGAGGAACTGAGCTGCTGCTGGTTGCTATCAGCGCAGCCTTGATAGCAGCCAGAAACCAGCATGATCCCTTTGGAGTAGCTACAGGTGACAGCTGCTGTGTGATGGGTGTTTTTTTATCCATCCCTTTAGAGCCCAGATAGCTCACCTGGGAGCAGGGATATTCTCAAGGAGCCAGGAGAAAGTAAGTCCTGTGGAGTGAGCCTGTGATATTATTTAAGTTTGTGGATGCTTAACCAGAAGCTGCCTTGCTGGCAAAAGGGGCAAAAATGGTGCTCTAGCTCACAGCTGTGTGCTGAGGTTCCCAAGCAGAATAAAAAGATGCTGTTGGAGAAGCACAGATGTTGTTAGCCTGCCTGATGAAGAAAATGCCTTTCCACTCTCACACATCTTCAATTCTGAAACGTTTTCACCTGCAGACTCTTTCCCAGATGACGAGGAGCCACATCCTTCAGTGTGTCCATCCCTGTCAGCTCCAGGTGATGTCTCACTGAGCAGGAACTTCACTGAAAGTTCACTGCTGCACTTCTATTCAGCTCTAAATGAAAGCCTGAGCAGAGGCAATGAGATATGGCACTGGAGATAGCAGCAGAGAGCTCTGCCTCAGCTGGAGGGATGGGAAAATGTGACACCCTGGGAAATGGCTGGCTGATCCCACTGGCATGTTGGTGGGTAAGGGTTTCTATTTCCTTATTCATTTTTCTGTTACTGGTGTTTTGTTAGTTTGCTTTTTAATGTAGTGGCTGCAGAGTGTTAATAACACAACAGTGATTTTGGGCTCTTGCATTAGAAACCTGTGTGGTATCAGTTTTCTCTCTGCAGTCTTTATGAATGTGATTTGATAGCAGAGGAGGAAAGAAGCTAAGGAGCCAGGCAGGAAAGTATGAGAGAGCAGACTGTTGTTGTTTGCAATCAGGCTGGGATGAAAATTGCCCTCCTGCCTGTAAAATCAAAGGCACCACCAGCAAACTGCTGGCAACTTGGCTTCTGAAAATTTGAGTTCACCGAACTTTGCTGGGAAGCCAAAACCAGCTCCCAGCATGTGCAATAATCTCTTCCATAGACACTGCTGTTGTCAGTGAAGGATATGTATTCCCGCCTTTGGCCCTAGGAAAGGGTAGATTCCCACACAAGCTCTCTTCTAACTTAAATTTCTCCTTTGCCATGATCCTGCATCCAGGAGCTGGTGGTGCTCCTGCAGGAAAACTGCATCAGTTTGGCTTTACACTTGCTGAAGCAGACAGACTACCTGACCCCTTCTACATCATCTCCTGTGATCACACCCAATGCAGTGTGATGCAAGGTAGAAAGTGCAGTCTAGCAGACTAAACCCCACAAATGCTCTAGGGACCCAGATTCATTTTTCCACCTCATAATTGACTTCTGTGAGTGTAGATGGAGTTAGTCTTGCTACACATTTAACTATTGGCTCAGGTTCTCTTAATAATTGACTCAACCTGGGCTGGGGATTTTCTGGCCCCAAGCTGGGCAATTTGGGATGTCCTGAATTGCCTTCTGGTGCCTTTTATTGTCCACTAGCCAGAATATTGGCCTGGATGACTAGCATCAACTACAGGACAACTGAATCATGGAGCAACCAATCCCACTTCTTGTTGTAACTCGGTACCCTTATCCTCCTCTAGTGTATTGCATTCACACTGGGGTGAGGGCTGTTCCTAGCAGTACTGGGTTTGCTGTTTTAGATAGGTGTTGTCTGGGTGATGATGAACAGTGTGAGGCAGAGGCAGAGCCAAAGCCTTAGCTCTGGGCCATCATGTGCTTGGATTCAGTTGGGCTCCATCCACTGGATGGCTAAAGCCATTGGGTTAGGGAGAGCACAGATTTGAGAGCAGGTTTGGATTTGTACTTTGGTACCAGCAAACATGGAGAAGAGCTGGTCCCTTTGATTGGTGGTGGAAAGCTGCTTTTGGTTTCTTGCTGTAACAGTTGCATGCTCTTTTCTTCCTCTGTAGTGATTTCAAGGGAGCAGAAGACCACAAATAGCCTTCTCAGCATTGTATGTACCCTGTAAGGACTGAAGTGACCTCCAAGACTCACCTCAACATGTTCAGTGAAAAGAGCAGTGCCTCTTTGACCCAGAAACCCAGCCAGAGAAAGACACGACCTCAGGGCCTCCCCTCCCCTGCCCTCTGCTGTGCTTGTGGACTTTGCATCATGCTGGCAGGGATCAACATCACTCTAGTGGGAGCATTTGCATTTGGGACCTTCCTCCCCATGAACAACCCTCCCATCATCATTGGACCCATCTTGCTGGTGGTGGCCTTCACATTCTTTGGTGCCTGCTGCATCTGCAGCCGGAGGCCGCCTGCTCATGGGGCCAGAAAATCCAAACCAGGTTCCAACATGGGTCTCATCAAACCTGGCAACACTGCCTTTGAAATTGAAACTAGTGAGCACACGGTGCAGGATACCACTGCTGTTCAGCTGAGCCCCACAAATTCCCCCATCTCCTCAAAAAAGTCCACACCAGTCCACGAGAACGCGAAGACTTGCAAACTCTTCACCATGGAAGGCAATGGGCCAGTGGCCAAGTACACATCAGGAGGAGAGGCAATACAGCTCAACCTGCCCAGGGACCTGGCCACATCCTAAACCCAGGCAGAGTTTTGTTAGCAGCCAGACAGATGCTGCAATGGGTGGGCTGGAATCTGAGGTGTACCATTGGTCAGAAGTGGTGGGAAAGTGCTTGTGACAGGCCAGCAGGCAGACAGGCTTTGCTGAATCAATTGAAGGAAGAGGGATGAAACAGCATGAAAATCTTTGCTGATAGGAACATGCCCATTAGTTGGCTTCGCAAGGAAGACTGCTAATGATGTCACTGTAAAAGGATGAACTGGACAGTTCCTGGGGAAAGACTGGCTTCTGGGAGAAGAGATTGGAAGAGGAGGATGAAATAATTTGTCTAGCAGGAGGCAGCAATGTGACGGCTACATGGGGCTGACAAATGACAGCTCTTTCTCTTCAGAAGTGAAGCAATTCTTGGATATAATAGAAGCAGGAATGCAGTAAATTACAGCTTGCTGCCACTCGGTCACAAGAAGATTTCAGCATTTTAGGGCCAGGCTTTGTGGCAGTAGGGACATAATGTATGTGTTTACTATTGAAAACGCGGTGTGAAGCGGTCTCCCTTCCTTTGGAAATCCTTGCCCCATTTTTCCTTCCTTTGAGTGACTTTGCCATCTGTTATAAGAGACAATTAATCGTGGGGATCACAGTTAGAGTTGGCATTTTCCTTGTTTTGAACACGTTGGGTTGCAGTGGTGCTGCTCAATGCAGGGTGTCTCCTGGAAGGTCAGCATGGCTGAATCCTTGGGAACAAAATCCTGGGGTAAATGGAGGCTGGGAGGGCCCTGCAAATGAAATCTTTGGGCAGTGCTTATGCCCTGTGTGCTTGGGGAGGCATCTTCCTTCCTGTCTTTTTATGGAAGTTGGGCTTGGGATACATTCTGCTTGGGACAGGGGACAAATTGCTGAATGGGCTTCAGTAGAGCTGTGCAGGAAGATGTATCTTCTTTCCTGAGGAGGCTGCCAGATCTATTGCATGCAGTGGGCAACCAGGTATGGAACTCCTTGCTGCAGGAAACTGGCTGCTGAAGATGCTCCTCGGCTTGCTGGTCAATGGGATGAGTTTGCAAAGAGAATTCTTGAAGAGCCACTCAACACAAAGGTACCTTCAGCTCAGACAGATTCTGAGCTGTGCACAGGGTGCTGATTATTGCAGCTGTTGTATTCTTCCCTGATAAGAAGTGCTGTGCTAGTGGAGCTCATTTTCTCATGAAAATTCACGTATTTGGTGAGATGTGGGACCAATGAGGAAGGAGACCCCTGGGAGGTAGCAGCAGGAGGATGGATTTTGAGTGTATCTTGTCCAAAGTGCTCCCCAGCCTCCAACACATCATTGCTTAGAGCTTCTTGAGCTGGAAGTGGTGCCTGTATTAAGCAGCCCTGAATGGATTCCTTCTTCTGTCAAATTGTATCATCCACGATCCTGCAGCATGGAGTTGCACAACTTAATGAGAGGCCGTGTAGATCCCTGTCCTTGTTTTATTTTCAGCCTGCACCCTACATCTCCCTCTTGAATCCCCAAACTCCTGGATTAGAAAGGCCAGCAAACAGCTTATGCCTTCCCACTGCACTCAGATTTTCTTGGGTCTTCATCTCATTTCTTCCAGTCATCTGTTTCCTATGGTCGTTCACACCTCTTGTTGTTAGAGGGAGGCAATGCTCCCAACTTGGCCAGCAACTCATTCAGCCCAGAATCAGTGCTTTGCTAGGCTGACCTTGAGGCCAGTATATAGGTATATGAGGTGCTGGAGGGGCTGAAGGGAAGATGCTAGAGGAGAAGGGAAGGCTGAGACGTGGCTGAAGTTCTCCTTGGCCACCAGCAGACCTCTGCAAAGCAGATGGTGAGGGCTGTACAACTGGTGTGTTGGGATAAGGGATGGCAAATAGGTATCACAGAGGAGCTGTGGTAAAGTCCATACATGGGGTCCTGGTTGCTCTGGGGAGCCATCATGGAGCTGATGGCTGAATTTCATTCTTCTGTGAGAGGGAAGCGAGAACTCTGGCTTGAATTCTCCAACGGTTTGCTGCCTTTGTCAGTTTCTTCTACATCATGGAATTGCACTCATGATTTTTAGCCTACTGGCTAGGAGGAGCAGAAACAGAAGGATTCATGCCTGGGAAGATGTAGGCTCAAATCTATGCTTTAGCCTCCAGGTCCTGGGGAAATCATTTAATTGCTGTGCGCCCAGCTGCCTGCCTGTGCAGGAGGGAAAACAGCTGCTCCCAGCTCTGTAGAGCTGCTGTAATGATGAGCAACACTGGGAAGCAGGAGGGTTGGTATCAGCACACCTGAATCTGCAGACTGCTTGAAGGTGGATGGATCTGTATGGTCTGATCTCTGCATGATCTCCTTTTAGAGCTTGTTTTTTAGGTGATCTCTGTTTCCAGCACTGACTTCTGTTTGGATTGTGGGAACTGCAACACTGAACTAAAGGCTCCAGTGGTTTTCACCTGCTGGTAATTGCTATAGGAAATAAGCAGAATAACTTGTTGATCCGGGTTTGGCTCTCAGGTTGCTGGCTCACCAGCATTTTGGAATAGCACACAAAGCTTTGAAGGTCCTTCAGAGGCATTGCCCACATGAACGTAGGTACTGCAGTGCTTTTCTTTGGGCACTTGAAGGCAAAAAGTGGTAAAATCAAGTGGTAACCATGCAAATTCCTCTTCTACTCATTGAAGGCTTGAAAACTGAGTCTGGAGTATGTGTACTGGAATTGCTCCTTATTGTGGTTGCACCATAGAATGCTACCAGTGATGGGTAAAACAATGGCAGATCCCACACAGGAACACCTGCTGCTTTCCGAAGCATGGAAGCTCTGCTTTTTCCTTTTGATATCTTTTTGGGATTTCCATATCTGTCTGTAACTGTGATTGCCTGTACTAACGTCTTTGTGAATTTGTGCCTTCTTCTTGTGTAGCAAGAGACAGGGCAGCTTTCTTGTGCTCTAAGTCACAGTTTCTATTGTGAGAGTCTTTTTTTAAAAAGGAGAATACTATTTATATATGTGCAATGTGGATTTTGGAAAAGATAGACTCATTAAAATAATTGCGCTCATTAAGCGTCTGGCTTGCCTGCTCTTCCAGTCTGTTGGTAGCTTATGGGTGTGCCCTAAGGTAGCCTCTTTGTTTTTATTGTGCACCATGCTGTTCTGCTTGATTCTCCAGCCTGGGCAACTAACTTCAAGAGAAGGGCATCCTTAGGAGTTCATGTTACACTTGTTCTGAATTCAGCTTCTCTGGCAATGAGAGCTGTTTTCCAACCTTAATGATTCTAAAATCACCCAGTCCAACCCCAACCCATCCCCACCATGCCCACTGACCACATCCCTCAGTGTCACATCCCCATGGTGCTTGAACAGCTCCAGAGATCCTTTCCAGGCTTGACTATAAATGTTTAAACTGTGGTATGGGGAAGAGTTAGAAACTGTGTGTGTGTAGGATGGGTGCTGTCAGCTTTCTGTGCTCCTTCTGGGCTTAACCCAACACGGCTTCCTGGAGATGAGGCAATGAGGGACAGCATGTGGGAATAAAGAGGATTTGAGAGTTTTTCAAATTCACCCTGTGAAAGGACTTCTCTCCCATGTGCAGCCAAGTGATTTGATACAAGAAGAAATCTCTGTGCTCCAGGCAGGCTGGCTGGTTAAAGACCTGGGAAATGAGCTGGCTAAAAAGGCTCCACTGACAATGCGTGTAAAATGCAAACCTGCTCCCTTCAGAAGGGATTTCTTTTGACCTTTAGAAAGAACTTCCTAGAAGGGCTTTTCTTAAAGTAGCACCAGAGAGAAAAGCACAGAGGAGGGTTTGCTGATCATCTGCTGGTTCTCTCCAAGACCTGCAGCATTCTTGCCACCTCCCCATTGCTATCCCCAACCCTGAGCTTCTCTCTCTATCTGGAAGTATAACCTAGAACCATTACATGGACTACAACTAAGCTTTTCTAGTTCCAAGCCTGAATTTATTTGTATTTGTGTTTTTTTTTTATCCTTGTGCCAGCAATGTCTTTTGTCCAGGATACCTCCAGGAAATGTTTGCCTTTGAAACATTTCAGATCTGTTGCAGATTTTCTGCAGCCTGTGATGGGGCTGAACTGGCTGACCCCCTCCATCCTTCTCTCCTGTGGGATGTCTGCTGTTCCCTGAAACCTTCACCTTCCTCTGTCCCCCATTGCTCCATAAGTGCTCATGAACTGCTGTTCTTTTGCAGAACTCACAGTGAAATTACAAACCTTCCGGGGTTAGAAATGGGGCTATTTTTTTTTCCCTAGGCAAATCCTAGAAGAAGAAGAAAAAAAAATCCATGAAAATGCAGAAATATCCATGAAAATGTGAAGTTTATATTTGCAAAGTCCCTCTTAAAAGAAATATATAACTGAGCTTTTATGTCATTAGTCTCCAGTGCATCCATAGCGAATGTGCTCAGCGCAGAGGCTGAAAGGCTGCTTTTCTCCAACTGCCAGATGCTGTCAGTGTGCATCAGAGTGACCCTCAAATGTGGAACATGGGTGACTGTCCAGCTTATGGACCCTGTGCCTTTCCAGGGAGATCTCTCCTGCTGAAATCCTTGCCTGGGTTTCTGGTATTCACTTGCTGTGTCAGAGAACGCAGTTATGCTTGCAGCTCTCTGGCCTGATGGATGTTTGATGGAGAGTGTCTCTGTGTAAGAACAGAAATGGGTTCTCTCTGAAGGAGCAATGAGCTCACTGAATGACCCTGCTTTCTTTGTTTTCCTGAGAAATGATGCATTTCTGTGGCATAACGCTGAGTTTGGCTCTGGGCCACGCATACTTTCATGCGGACTCATTAAAATCATGTCTTTGATTCTTTAAACTCACATTTGTTCTAGAGAGGAGCTGTCTGCTGAGAGAATTAATTCCTCCGACTCCAGTCATCTCCCTGGAAGTGCTGCTGTTGTCTTCGATTTCATGGCTTGGATGATTACTCTTTTCCAACACCCAAGAATAACAAGATTAGGGAATTCATAGCAATGAAGGCACAGAAGGGAGATTGGCTAAAAAAAAAAAAAAAAAGAGAGAGAAGATAAATTGAATTTTCCTTTGAAGAGAAAAAGGAAAGGGGTATTTCAGGGAATTACATTAGTGGTGTGATTTGGTTGTGTTGCAACTGAGAGACAGCTGACTTCTGCTCCTCAGGTGTGGGCAGGGCTCTACTGGGAGAGAAGATGTGCAGCTGTGCTCACACTGCTGGATTGAAACACTGCCATCAGAAAGGTGAGTGCAGCCCTTGAGAACAGGCTGCCCAGGGAGGTGGAGGGGTCACCATCCCTGGAGGCATTCAAGAACTGTGAGGATGTGGCACTGAGGGATGTGGTCAGCAGCCGTGGTGGTGATGAGTTGACTGTTGGACTGGATGATCTTAGTGGTCTTCCCTAAAGTTAATGATTCTATGAAAACTAATTCAAAAACATTGGGCCATGTCTGAAGGTGAAGTTGCTGGGGGCAGAAGCATCCAGGGGTTGAAATTCCACCATCCATGAGGGGCTGGGCACCCCCTGATGCTATGCAAGGAAGAGAAAGCCAGGGAAGTGGTGAAAATGGAGCACTTTTGGATAATCCAGGCAAGCTGGTGGAGGGAGATGAGACAAAGAGGGCTGTTCTTGGGTGTCAGTCTACAGGAATGCACTGAAATTGTGGATTCTGAGAGTTTGCACAACTGGAATGGGGATGTTCAGAAATGCAGGTGGGTACTGTCGCATCCCAAAAGAGGCATGAGCTGCTGTGTGGGATGGGGTGAAAAAGGCCCCCTTGGAGGGTCTCGTGCTAAAGGGAAGGGCTCTTCTCTCATGACACTTCAGCAGGGTAACGCTCACACCATCATTAGGCTTAATGCTTCTGTTATTTGTGCTGTCAATTCTCTTAATGGTGCTCCAGCAGCATGGAGTGGAGTGAGTCATGACAGTAATTATTAACCAAGCTACGACACTGAAAAGGCACCCAAAGTTCAACGCTGCACCAGCCCTGCTTGATGCGGATGGAGAGTGTTCATTAATGAGCAGGTGCTGGGGGGGGGGGGAAAAGGAAAAAGGCTGTGTGATGTGAGATGTTTTGTCTTATTCTCACAGCAAAACACATAGCAGCAGGTGGAGCCAAGGGCTTGCCTCTTGCTTCCATTGTCCCCGTGGTTCCAGGGGCACTTGGGATGCAGGGTTTTGCCTCATCAGCAATGTGATGGGATTGTGGCTCAACCCTACCCACCCAGCAGTGACTGTCTGACTGGGAGAAACCCCATCTGTGCATCAGCTGGACACACGTGTCTCTGCTCACCAGTTGTGTGCAATCTTCCATCCTCAAAGCCATGCAAAACCATCTCATGGCCTTCAATCATTTTCCAATTAATTCCCCTGGCTCCAGACCTTGTTTAAAGCTTAGGGGCTTAAATCTATTTTCGCAAATGCTATTTGCTACTCCAGAAGGTGGAAATTAGGAGGCTGTATGAGGAAAAGCACAGTCTTGTGTGCACACTGCTTACTCTGGCTGGTGTATTGTGCAGGATGAGTAAATCTCCTGAAATGCCTGTATAGCTTTATGTACTGGGGGCAAAGATATAATTTACTGTCTGCTCTGCCCTGAGCTTTGACTCCACTCTGGTTCTGCCCCTGCTGTACTTTGCCGACATACTCCAACTGGACCTGTTCTGATGAAAAGTTCTAGACAGACTTTGAAGTGGATTTTGTGGTTTACTTTCAGTTTATTAGAGAATCAGAGAATGGTTCAGGTTGGAAGGAACCCTTAAACATCATTGAGATCCAGCCTCCTGCTGTGGGCTGCGTGCCTCCCCCCCCACCAAGGTCAGGCTATACAGAGCCCCATTCAACCTGGCTCTGGGCACTTCCAGGGATGCGGAGTTGGACCTGCAGTGATAACTGTGCTCCTGAATGGAAATAGCTCTGTGCAGCCTCCTTGCATTTTGCCTCCAGCTTCCCCAAAATTGAAGTTCTACAGCAGCAAAAATGAAAATAATCATAAAAAAAAATTTCTCTGTATTCTTGGCTTTAATTCACTCCCTACAATGAGAGCTACTTCGGCTGAGGAGGGTGAGTGGCTTTCAGATGTGCTATTTATCAGCTCCCTGAATGTAATCAGAGCCAGTGTGATCTGATTAGATGGCAGCAGGACAGTGCCATACATCCTGCATGCAGTGCTTGGGAGGAGGAGGGGATGCAGTGCTGTGCAATCCTCCCATACGGGTCATAATGTCATCCTCCCTTTTGGTTTCTGTGAACAAGGTGAAAGTTCTTGATGAAGCTTTTCAGTGTCTACCAAAGGCTGAGCCTTTAGCTGCTTCCTGCTGGCTGTGCTGAGGCTCAGAGGACAGAGACCTTATTGCTCTACAATGCCCTGGAAGGAGGTGATGGTGATGTGAGGATCTGCCTCTGCTTCCAGGTAACAGCGATAGGATGAGAGGTAATGGCTTTAACTTGCTCCAGGGGAGGTTCAGGTTGGATATTAGGAACAACAACTTCTCAGAAAGAGCAGTGATGTGCTGGCACAGCTGCCCAGGAAGGTGGTGGGGTCATCATCCCTGGAGGTGTTCAAGAACTGTGGAGATGGGGCACTGAGGGATGTGGTCAGTGGGCATGGAGGGGTGGGACTGGATGATCTTGGGGGTCGTCTTTTCCAACCTTAATGATTCTGTGATTCTATGTGCTGGAAGAAGGCACAGCAGAAGGGTGATGTCAGAGCTGGGAATTAGAAGAGAAGCATGGCAATAAGGTGGCTGAGAAGCTTCATGCTGCTTTCTCGCTTACTTAAATTTTTGTTTGTTTGTTTCCTTTTTCTCTCTCAGCCGGATCAGCCAGTCTAATAAAAGAGATTGCCTCTCCCTGTAAGCCTTCCCTCTGGAGACTTCACCACTCTGAGGTTGCTATAACAACACCCGAGCTCTCCACTTAGGTGGAAGGGATGAGGTGCTGGGAGGACTGGGAGAACATAGCAGAGCTGCCAGGATGTGAGCACCGTGCATGCAGGGTGGAAGCACGCCTTGTTCACAGTGCATTTCTATGAATGTGGTTTGGCATTGTGCTTCACCTCCCTTGATGCTGGGGTCTCTTTCAAGGAGTTAAATTCCCATCCTGTTCCCAACAGAAAGGAAATGGGTGCCACTTTCTCTCTGGCTGCAGCTTGGAAAGGTTCTACCCTACCCCTAAAGCAGTGTGTGAGGACTGTAAAGAGCCAAGAAGGGCACAGGAGAGGGGAAGGAAGGAAGAACTGCCAGTAGACACGAGTAGGGGATGTTTGTGCTGGGAAATGGTTTAATGGGCATGTTGGGGATGGGTTGGGGTTGGACTGGATGATCTTAGAGATCTTTTACAACCTTAATGTTTCTATGAAATAGTAACTCAGAAGCAGGCAAAAAAATGGCAGGAGAGTTCATCTGGGGTAGCTACAGCCACCTACAGACGGGGCACTCATCTCCACCCTTTATGTTCTGTTCAGCTGATTGCAAATGCCACAGCAAAGCTCTGCTAACTTTGTCAGCTGAGGGTTTATTGGAACCAAATCTTCATTTTTCCCTCCCAAGTTATGGATTAGAGGCTCTGAATTGTTAAACACCAGAGGATTGCCAAGAATAGGGAGTCTGTTAAGCACTCCAAGAGCTGGGCATTAGAGAAAGTTAAATTATTATTCATGGATCCACTGCAGAGCTGAATATTTATGGTTCAATATCGTTTTCTAGAGTCTCATCATTTCTTATGTCAACTATACTTTATAGAAATGTCCACGGGGAAAGAATTGACTTTTGTCTCGGGCCCAAACTAAACAAGCTCAGGCAGCGATTATTTGGGTTTTTGAAATAGTTGGATAATTTAATCTCAACATCTATTGATCCCTTTCAACACTGGAATCCTATGACTAAACATCTGCAAGGCAATTAACAGCCTCGAGTACAAATTCATTACAGATTTATCAATAGGCTCTGAGTTTTAATCTGAGAAAAAATTGTCTTTTAGTCTGCTTACTTTGAGATATGTTTATATATGAAGAAAAGCAGCTACGTGAAGATAAAGGTAGGTTAGAGGCCAACCTGCATCAATCCACATGGTGCCTGATACGGAGCAGAGGAGGGAAAAATTTTCAACAAAACAGCCACCATTTCCCCTTAAAAAATGTGTTATTAAAAAAATAAATAAATAAAAAAAAAAGTTAAAAATTCTAAAGTTTCAACCAAACCCCAATGGTGATGGCAATGTTGGCACTGGTTTGTGGCTGTGCTCCC